AGAGTCAGTGTCACAGCTGACAATCTGGTATCCTGTGTACGTTCCTTAGAGTCATACAGCAGCCCAAACTCATTTGTGTTCAGTTAGGAGGCCAAAAAGTTACTTTTAAGACTTCAGTATACTAATATAGCAATATTGAAAAATACTCAATTTGGCATCGTCTTCCAAGATCCCAATTGCTCCTCACAGTACAAATTTCTCAGACGCTTGTTTGTGATGGACTTCTCTTAGCCCCATAGGGAGCGGCATTTCCCCTGCAATCTATTTTGTTTCATTAAGTGTCCTTTCAAAGCCCTTTACCTGTACTGCTGTGACCTCCTGCATATGCTCAGACCCCAATTAACTTGCATATTAAGGTTTTTCATTCATTTGCTTACTTTTTTGTCACCTACAGGGCACCAATTACAGTTTGGGGAAGGTGGAGAAAGACTACCTGGCAATTGTGTCCATCACCACCTTACCGAACCTCGGTTCGCATTTTTCTGTAGAGAAGTGTTTTAGCACTTCCAAATCTTGCTCTTCTCAAGCTTGTTCTCCCCAGTGCAAATGCTGAAGAGGTTAGGCAGTGTAAAATATAGGTACTAGGTAGTGTAAAATATATAGACATGAGACTGGAAGAATAGACATCTGTGTAAGTAGGTGACTCACCAACTGAGAATGCTGAACTATGGTAAGCAAAAGGTTTTGATGAGGAACTGCAAGAGTTTGTATGCTTTTTCTGATGAAACAAGTGTTACCACCAATATATTCCATTCCCTCGCAATCACCAAAAACGATTCTCATGACTGCCAGCTCCACCGTGCACACAGCTCCTTGTTTTATTGGCACACAAAGACGTACCACCACTACCAGTATTCACAGTTCCCAGCACACACAGTGGCCGTATTGTAGCTAATGTCAAATATCTGAATATAAAATTTCAGCACTAAGTTCTCTTGCAAGGTTTTATAATTTTCTTTAATTTTCTCAGCGACTTTCTACTGATTGAAGTTTGCAGACTTTTGCTAAAGTAAAAGTGAAATATTTTGTTTCCTGCAGTTTTCATTCCTGATCACTTCATTAGGTGAGTTCTACTTGGCCAAATTCCTATTTCTTAAGTAAACTAATTTCTTGAATATTCCATAAACTGCCATTTTTTCAGTCACATTTTGGCTGGAAAGTACACCAATACACCACACAATCAGATATGTCCTTGGTAAATAAAATATGGAAGTAGGACATGTTGCAGCATTAGCGTTAACTCTTTTGCTCCACTATCTAAAGCACTTCAAATATTGCATCTCCAAAATATAGTCCAGTTTTTTTAACACAAACTGACAACTTTATGCATTTTCCATCTGTGGTGGGTTGATGCCAGCCAGCAGCTGAGCCCCCACCCAGCCACTCGTTGCCTCCCACCTCCAAATCTCCCCGCTGCCATTTCAAACCAGTCTAAGCAAAGCCTGAGAAAAGGAGAGTTTCCCTGGTTCTCATTATGATGTTGAGATAATATTTGTATTACACAGGAACAGCTTTTATTTGCTTTGGCCCAAAATGTCTCTCTATAGCAGGGAGTAAAGAGAACCGACTACCAGACCATGATTATGGTTTCAGCAGTCATTCCTCTCAAACAACTAGTAATTAAATTTCAGTCTGAAAATTCTGATAGTTGATACTTTTCTTTCACTTTTTTCTTGAGTCTTAGATTAATATAGCACTTTACAAACAACTTTTTTGGGGGGAGTAGGGATGCAAAAATTGTGAATAAGGTGTCAGTTTTATGCTAATTCAGAAGGGATATTCTAATATTACATTTAAGACTATGAAATTAATAAAATAATTGTTCCATCTTTTCTCACTGTCAAGTTCTCAGTCTCTTCTTCTAAGGAACAAAAAAAATTTCCATTTTGTCCTAGTTAATAATTGCACAGAATGATAAATCCTGTGGTATCACATGCTATGTGTGGCCACAAGACAGAAAAATATAAATACTTAATAGACTCTAATAAAATTCCCCTTAGTTAACCATGTAAGGAAGATGTTTGGATATCACAAAGACAGGCCAATATAAATAAGTAAAACTACAGTATCTGGGAAAGTAAAGAGAAGACGACAAATACAAACAGACCCATTTTCTTCTCAATTTCACAGCTCTCTGAAAGGTTGTTTTCTCAGTATATAGGAAAGCAGTGGACACAGTGTTTTTAAAACTGCATCCTTTGAAAATTTAACAATAACCAATGCTGAATAATACCATGTTTTAAATGGTCTCAGCTAAGTTGCTCAAGTAATACCGTAGTGAGATGACTGAAGTACCAGAAGGAAAACAATCCTACTTTTAACTGCAAACCATTTTAACAGAGAAGCAGCTGATGTTAAAAAAAAAAAAAAATTAAAAAAAAATAAAAAAGGTCCTCTTGGGCCTGTACTGTGCATACCATCAAATTTCTTTTTGTGTGTGTGTGTTTTCTGAAAAAAAAATAATAGTGATATTAAATGAACTCAATTTAAAAAAAAAAATAATCCCAAATTGCATCAGCAACGCTTTTGATGCAAACATCAAACATACAAAATTCAGATACTTTTTTGTTCTGCTTTCTCTTCTCTTAATTCACTATTGGTGGCATTAAAGCAGGTTTCTGCTGGTGGCAGCTTTTGCCCTAGTCCACTTGAAGTGGATTCAGGGTTGAAAGGAGAAGTTAACAGAAGAGAAGACTGGGAAAGACTGCCAGTCACAGATAATTGCAAGCTACAAGCAAGAATCGGGAGTCAGAAGAGCCAAAGAACGAGGCCACCCACTACAGGGGTGAAGACAGCACAAGGGAGATGCTAGTCCCTGATCTATAGAGGCAACATGTCACTGTTACGTGACATTATCCACTGAGCTCTGCCTGGTGGTCCTCTGTTGCACAACCTCTCGCAAAATTTAGTTCAAATCCTAGGCTTTGTTGGGGGAGTTTAACCGCTATTATTGCATTATGGTTCGTTTCTTCCTAAAGGCAAGAGGTAGGATGCTGTTGTGGTCATGTTCTAGTGAGGTAGCTATTTTGCTCATATCCTTTACATCTGTAAGATAAATCTTACCGTAAATTACTTGTATTACATAGCAAAAGCAATTATGTATAAATTTTGATTTGTTTTTAATAATTACCATAGTGAGGTAAGGTGGTTTTTTTTACTGTAATCACTTGTGTCCTCATCTCTGTTTGGCTTTCATTTGAGCAGAAAACGTCATTTGTTGCTTGCTAATTATGTTCACCCAAACAGTTCTCAGAAACTCTTTTTGGTTTTAATAAACCCCTCCAAAAGACATAAAGTTTAAAAGCCTTTCTAGAGGAGTGAACAGGAATTGGGAGCGGGGGGGGGAATGGATAAGTTCTGCAAGCTCTAATTATAGAGAATATTTTCAAAACAAGCACCAAGAGATTTCTACTCAGTGAACAAAAGTCTGTTCTCTGTTAGCAACAAATTTACCATTATAATGGTGACAGTTCTTGGATGAGTTCACGGGCATGTTTTAAAAATCCCTGTGAGCAAAGCCATGGTGTAGTGCCGGGTTCCGCTTCCCCCGTGCCCACACAGGCGTTACCAACCTCACAGGTGTCACAGCAGCAGCCACAGCCAACGTGCAGGAGCTGAATTCACAATCTCAAAGTAATAACTCACATAAGTGAGGGATGATCAGAAGATACTCACCCCGGGAACTACAGAAGAGTGGGACTTCTTCATCCCACACAAGAGGCTAGGTCTCAGAAAATTCAAATTTTCCTTTTGAAACTGTTGCTAGTGCTTTTCCTCACAGAAGAGCATGGTTAGGTCTCAAACACAAAATGCTGCGATACATTTTTGGTGAAGACTGCGATGGGAGACCATTCCCACAGCAGAAATGGCCAACAGTCTGCCCGCATGCAATTTCCAGGACTTTGACAAAGGATGTCAAAATCAAAATCAGAGAATTACAATATTACCTCTTTCAGGTCACACTTTCACTATTATGAAGTCCAGTCACAGTAAATGAAGTGAAATGAACCTCACCAAAGAAACACACAGTCCATCCATAGTGAAGTAGGATATTAAACATGTAGCGCTTTTACTATAAATACAATGTGTTTAAACATTTTTATACTTGTTGATTGCGTACATTTCAACTCCAGGAATAAGAAAAACTAAGAAAAAACCCAGCTGATTGTCTTCATGCCATAATATATTCAGGAACACTCATTTTGTTCATAGCTGAACCATGGAGGTAATAACTTCAAGACAGAAGATATGTAGGCTCTGGGATTTCTAGCTCTATCCATTTGAGATAATGATTGAGGTGAATTTTACTTTCTACCTCATTGTTCTTATTCACTAGAACAGTGGCTGAAAATCATTTATTCCAGCTAGCTGGTGTCATTGCTCCCAACTTTGATTATTACCTTCTAGACAGATATTCCCCATAGCCAAGAAGGCTATAACAAAACTCTATCCTTGTAGTGAAGTTAACTTTAAGTCAGTATGGTTTTTTTTCTCCTGAAGCAGGCAATTGCTTATAAAAATATTAGAGGTTAGAATTATCTTTCACATTTGGATTAAGAATGAAAGGAACAAAGATTCCTTTTATAATCAAATTCAATTCACAATGAAAATTATTATTATAAGTTACCTCTAAATATGATCTTAAATACAAAATTATTCATAGCAGAACTGACAAGCATCTACATTGGGATCAACT